ATCTAGGACTGGTGCTTAAAAGATAGTACATTTTATCAAATTTTAAGATATATAGTTTTTAGTAATATAGTTTGAACATAAACATGTCAGAAGTATAGATCCAGAAGCTGATGCTTGATTATGATGATTTTTTTTAACATTAAAATAGTTTGCCATTCAGTCATCTTCTATCTGACCATCAAACAAGTACTTGTCCATATTGAGAAATATAACTGCTCTGAAACTGTATTAATTTTAAAAACAAAATGGCCACTGTTCGACCATTTTGAATACATCTGTAATCTATGACATGATGTATAATGAATATATATATAATTTGAACATAATCAGTCAAAGCATGTCAGGGATATTGCTCTAGAACCGCATTCATTAAAATAAAATGGCCGCAAGAAAGCCATTTTGATTCCGATCTGAAAAACAAAATGATGTGCATCAAGGACCAATAATGTCTAATGTATGTATTAAGTCCAGGCATATCTAAGAAATACGTTCATCCGGACTCGCACACAATCCACAAGTCCTCGTTTTCAGACCGTAAACAAATGCTGAACTCCACATGAATGCAATTATAATCAAGGGTTGTCTGCAAGCGGCTAATTAAAATAAACGAATCATCCAATGTACCAAATCACCAGCATCTGCCATGTCAAAAAAGGCACAATCAAGCCTAGTGGTGGTCATAAAAATGTTCAACAAATATATATAGTTCATAAAAAACCAAAAGAAAAGTTATATATTCATTTAATTTATTCAAATTGTCTTCTTTATACTGAAACAATTACACTTTGTGTTTTTATTCGAAAATAGTATTGGTATACTATAAACTACATAAGATACTTTATAATTAAGATGTTACATGAATGCAATTCGACTTAGAAAATGTCAAATTGTTCAGTAATGACAATTTTACTGTTAGTGGGTTTTGTAAAAAGCAACTTTCATGAAATAATCAAATTACAATTTACAGAAATAGCAAAAGGCAATAACATGCATGTACATAATTTATGCTTTGTTATATTATATATGTTAATATTATACTGCATCATATATATTATTTTTTAAATTAATGTGGAAGTCTGCGATTTCGTGTTTGAAAACGTAAAATAACTATACCAAATCCTAACATTTAGGTACAAAGTAATATCCGATCTTGGCATTACACAAGACAAAGTAAAAACCAGAAATGAATATATGAAGTTATTCAATTTTGAAATTTACTTTTTACGTGGAAGTATACTAGTGATTTTACTTTTAATTTCATTGCACAATCCGAAAAAAAAACACAGAAAAAATTATTAATTTTGTACAGAAGTGATTAGAAATATGATATACCATGTTTGCACCATTAGAAGCTTATTTTTAATCTTTTCAACCACCAGTTCCTTCTCTTCATCACAAATTCACAGAATAGTCCTGTTTATAGTCTGCACTGAAGGATCAACAGATTGGGACAAAAATAGCAAATTTTTTTTCAGTGAAAGCTGAAAATTGACTCAAATATTGTCTATCAGCTCTGAAATTAGGGTTCATTTTTATAAATAATTGAAGAATATGATAGAAAAAGGGCAGACAAATTTGGGTGAGATAATCTGGTGGTGAAAAAGTTAAGAGTAGTGCATATAAACCAAAAATTGCGTTTATTTTCTGCTTGATCATTAAAATAAACCACAGACATACCTGTGATTGGCACTGCATGTTTCAAATTACTTAAAAAATCATTATAAATTAATATTATAATTAAACTAACAAATATTTCTATTAAATATTCATTAGTAAATGAAATAGAACATTGACATTACAAATTTACTAAATGCAAAAAAAAAAATGCATTCATATGTTTAAAAATAATCTTGTAACATGTTTTATGAAGTCTACTTAATAACAATATTAATTTGTAAATACAGTTAACAAATAGACGAGCACCATGTGGTAAAAAAATAATGTTATTACGTTACTCATTAAAGCTAGAAGAAAGTAAACTTGCCGAAAAGTATGACTACATCATTCTTATCAATACTTGAAAATATATCGAACTTTTTACTGTAAAAAAAAAAACAGATTGTTTTTTTTTGTATTATAAATAATCTGAATTGCATATAGAATTTGTAAAAAAAAATGCTAAAAATAACTGAAGATAAATTTTCACATTCTGTGTAATCATCAACCAAATAAATAATTGGGGTGTTACTGAAGAATCAACTCAAATTCCACATGCATATCATGACTGTATGAGTGAGATGGTTTACAAATTGGAATACTGTAGAAGGGCTAGTTGATCACTGGGTTTTAATTTTGCTTATTTTGCTGACTGGAAAATGCGCTAAATTAAAACCCAGTTAATATGTAATATTGACCATAGAACACATTATCTAAATGATAAAACCGTGAATTTAAAACCCACTGAATATGCCTGAAATGCTAAATCAGTGAAATTTTACAGTATAAGAACTAATATGAATTCATAGATAGATTTTTGTGCTTGAACACCAGTTGACTGTGTCATGGGTGCAGTTAACCTCAGCAGACAGGATTATCTGTAAAATATCAATCTCATCTCAAGCGATAATTATGAAATAAAAATTATAATAAGGTTATGCATTTAATTAACAAAATATGCATATTTCCATAGTGCCAAAATAGCTGATTGCTGTGGCACACACTCTGTTCCATACAATCTTCCAGGTTGACATCCTCCAAGGGCATTGATTCATATGAAAAGTTAATATTCAACATACTGCATATTACCGTATACATTAGGCACCTGGTTTCCGTTTTATGAAGTACTTGGGTGTGTTCATGTGGTAATAATTTCCTTTTCCCCACCAATGGGTGTGGTAATGCTTTCCAAAACTGCAATTAAAATACAGTGAGTAAATTCAAGATAAAATTAAAAATTTAATTTCATTAATATCCTAAAATTTGGACTGTGTAATAAAAACAATTCTGCAGTGTGTGACAGAAAGTTGTGGACATTTCATAAACATGTTGTGACATCGAAAAGAGTATATATTATTATTGATTAGTTAGTTTGATGTCATCATTCAAATAAGTGTCACATCAAAATAAGATTTGAGGAAGTATGAGAGTAGACAGAGTTGAGCTCATGAGCCGATATCAATTACATAATTAAACGAAAGCTGAGGCTCAGTTTCTACTAATATTATTATGTATTAATAAACTGAAATAGAGGTTTCTGGTACACACTGTAAGGTTATCTTTTAATTTTTGCAATGTAATGTACCGTACTCGACCGCGTTAGCGCCCAGGGTCCTCAACTCATAAAATCAGGATTTTTTAGGGGTGGGCGCTTACCCGAGCACACCCTCGGAAAAGAATACAAATGACAATTTTAATTCACTGTGTGACAGATTGAGGGGATATCTACGTCTTTGAAAGTTTGAAGGAAAATAAAATTACGAAATTAGGTGTGTTGTTCATTGACTCCTACGAAGAAACAAAAATTAATTACGTACCACCCGAATTTACGAAATTAAAAATATCTGAGTCTGTTGGAACACAGTCAAAGTCAAAATCTTTATCACCACTGACGAATGTGTCGGATCATACGCAAACTCTTGATAAAAGCTTTTTCCGCCATGGCGTATTTGCATTTGACCTGCATCAACGTCCTTTGACCTAATGGGTAAAGTCTGTTATTATCTAATCAAATTGCTGCGTGGTACCGACGCAATTCTTCGGGAATTCCCGAAGACTCTTGGGTAACGCAATGTGGAAGTGAATTATCGATGTCGAAGTACAATCTGTTGGAATTGATTTTGACGAATAAACGTGGTTTTTTTTTTCAAATATGGCATGAAATATTTACTGCAATTTACTTTTATTAACAGGTCATTGTCGAAGCATAGTTTACGCACGGTTACCGTGGTCTACACATTCACAACATATTCACAGCAGTCGATATCCATGCTGTATCATGATACAAAAACGATTACCAGTATTCGTTAAGCAATGATCAAAGACCAAGTTTTAAATTATTGGTGAAGGGGTGGGCGCTTTTGCCGAATGTAACCCCAAATATAAAAATTGCGCAAAAGTGGGGGGTGGGCGCTTGACCAGGCATGGGCGCTAAAGCGGTCAAGAACGATAATGTAATGCAATAATAGCTGCATATTTAATTTGGAATGGAATTGAAAAAATACATTAGAATAATTTGTCAAAGTATTTAATCATTATATGATAATTTTACACAGTTAACACTGCTGAATCAGATTTGTTTTGATGTACGTAACTCACTTTTAATTCAGTTTGCCGTTAAACATCAATTTTAACTACAGTAGACCAACTATCTACGCCAGTTGCATTGAAGTATTTCGCAACCAATCAAAGTTATCATACAAGATACACGACTTCCACAGGCAATTGGTCAGTCAAGTTTGATTCTAAAAACGTGTGATGACCTTCAATAGGGAATTCTATGCACACAGTACTGTAAACTGTTTTAATTATTTGGAAGAGGGAAAAGTTTTCGCAAATTTCAGTGGTAAGTAAAAATCACAAAATTTCTAGCAGTGAAATTTCTCTGGGGTTTCAGAAGACATAGTTTTAGTGACTTCACTGAAATGTGTCTTCACGAATGCAATAGAATCTCAAAATTACAAAAACACGAGTTTCAAAAACCGTTGACAGTATTTAACTTGGCAAATGAGTATATGTACTGTTGTAAGAGACAGTTGGTGGTATCAGTTGGTAACAGTTTTTTTAATGGAAAATATATCAGTGTATTTTTAGTGTAACGCCATCAATAATCTATGCATGTTCCTGGACCTGAATGATTCATGGTTCTTGTCCAATAATAGGCGATTTTCCGTTCAACTGTGAGATCTCGCGAGTTTCTTGAAAGACGTGTGCCAAACGTCTGATTTTGAATGCGATTTCATCGCTCAAAGTAGAAAGGCCGATCTTTGACAGGGGAATATTGCATTTAGATACCCTTACTTCATCAAAATTGACCATCATCAAATGTGTACATGACATTATTAAGCATTAAAATATCCCCCAAAATACTTTCACGTTTGTCGAATCCTACAAGATGTTTGTCGCCACTACAACGCTACGACCTTTTCGTTATTCATGTTTTACGTTCGATTTCATGCATAACGCAGGATCTCAAAGTGAACGAAAAATAGTCTATTGTCATGTTGGTCTGTGAGTGGAATAACTACTCGCTGTCCAGGGCCACCATCCTGAAATATGAATATCAAACAAAACTTACACTGTTGGGAAACGAACAGATGGATCAACATCTTCACTTTGTATTGTGATGTAATTGTTATCTTGATATTTGTTTGGATTGTCTGGAATGCGAAACTTAGCTAGCTGGATTTCAGTGTCAGTCAGTCCACCATGTGATATACGAGCATAACCAACCCTAGAAAAAAAATTTTTATTTTTATTTTCATAGTTACCTCTATCCGCTTTATGTCATTAGTTCAACTGCTTCGTAAAAAGCATGAAAAAACATAGCATAGCAATTATAACATTGTCCATTGAAAGTCTAGATTGAACACATGAATGTACACAAGCAATGCAATATTTTTTCTTTGCAGGGCAAAAGAGAATATAATAGTTCTGAAATTCAATAGTATATCTAAACGTCATAATCACGTAAAACATGAATTAATATTCATTATCCTCAAATATTTCATATACATTACTAATTTAAATGTCTCACAGAATAATATAACATAAATTGTATGAAAATTCCTGAAAAATAATAGTACAGCAACGAATCTAAGCAAAATTTGGGAAGAAAAATACTAGCTAATGCCTTCTTCGAGTAATACTACATGTACTGTATTAATCTCAGTGTTCCTTATAGAATAACATGAAATGTATAAAAGTTCCTAAACAAGCAGTCTGTTGGCTGATACAGCTGGTCTTTCAGATGTATAAAAACAAAGAATATCAAATCAGTCAGTAATAATTAACTAAAATAAGAATATTTTAGTTATTGACATTAAATGACATAATCTGATAGGGGAAGAAATCAAACCAATCAAACAGTGATTCATCTAAAATGTCAAAACATTCAACATCACAAATATGTTTTCCACCAAAAATAAAAAAATATTCACTAAAATTGGAGAACTTAAATGTTTGTCATGAAAATTAACAAATCTGAGGGACAAACCCAAGGCATATAAAATATCAAGGCACTCAGGCTAGCTAGCTAGCTGGGTTAATTTTTTTTACAATTTTTACCAAAATTGACAAAAATAGTGGGTAAAATTAGTGATTACAATAGGTATTGTCACAAAATATACAAATTTGACTGAGGTCCATCCAAAGTGTCTTGATATAAAAATATTGAAGCAATTGGGATAGCGATTTTCACGAAGAAGTTAAAAATATAAATTTTTACCATTAATGAAAACAATATTCATATGATATCGTTAGAAATTTACAAAGCTGAGAGAGGTCCACCCAAAGTACCTACATACAGTTGCCTTGTTTCATCACAAATTCACAAAATAGTCTGCAACTTGTACCCAAAGATTGAGACAGAAATAGGCTAATTTTTTTAGTAAAAACTGAAAATTGACTAAAATTTTTTTTGTTGGCTCCAAAATTAGGGTTCATTTCCAGAAATACTAAAGAGTATAAGAAAAAAGTGCAGAAAAATTTGGGGCGAAAAAGTCTGGTAGAGGAAAGGTTAATTCACTTGCAATAAACATATTATAAATATTTATGAGAGAAAGCAACATGTCTAGAGACACCTTGCACGAAAATACTTCTACAATATAGATCCAAACTGATTATATTTTTTCATTGAAAGACCTTACCTGATTAAACCTCTGTACATAATATATAAACAGAATCTCTTTCTGTCAGTTTCATCAATATCCTGAAAAATAGGAACAATAAAGTAAAAAGCTTGAAAATACTATTTATAACCAAAAATGACAAAAATATTCGATAAAATAGGGAATTGAAGATATCATCATGAAATGAACAAATATGAGAATGAACCACACAAAATAGAAACCATTCTGAGTAGCAGTTTTTGAGAAGAAGTAAAAAATATCAGTTTGACCAAAAGTTACTTAAAATATTGACCAACATGCAAAATTTGAGATAGTGACATAAATTTACCAAACCTGAGGGGACTTATATAACAAACATCAAACCACTCAAGCTACTGGTTTTTAAGAAGAAGATTAATAGAATTGTTGATGGTCAAAGGGCAGAGGAAATAGCTCCACTGTGTCATCTTCATTCACAATTAACAGAATAAAGGTTTATACCTTTAACCTTCCTCTAGTTGTCAGTTGTTTATAGTCTCTCTCACCGGGTTTAGAAGTCACATAGCCCATGTACACCAGTGGGTTAGTACTGTAAATACAAAATACGTGAATTGCTCACACAAGTCATATTTTTTTTTTTATATTTATAAGTTTTTACTGGTAATCATTTCATAATACTACAGTAAGCAGAATACACTGTGTACATTATACAGACTAATATACAAGTGCATTCAAGACATAACAATTTGGTGGATTTTAATCCACTTATTACAGTGTGTTTCAATTTTGTACACAAGTCATATTTATCAAATTTAAAAAATGTTAAATTTAATAATAATTTGATGTTTCATGTTTTTATGACATATTTTCTGGTATAGAGGATATCTAATATGTCAATGTGCGAGTCCTAATTGTTCATACCATAAAACTAGTTAACCTTTTTACCACCAGACTTTTTTCTCACCCAAATTTGTCTGCACTTTTTTTAATATATTCTTCAATATTCCTGGAAATGAACCCTAATTTTGGCGCCGACAGACAAATTTTAGTCAATTTTCAGTTTTTACTCCAAAAATTTGGCTATTTTGAAATGAATCCTAATTTTGGTGCTGATCAGACACAATTTGAGTCAATTTTCACTTTTTACTTTGGCTATTTTTGTCGCAATCTTCAAAAGGAAAGCGCAAACTATAAACAAGACTATTTTGTGAATTTGTGATGAAAAGAGGGAACTGGTGGTGAAACCTTTAATATAAGAAACAATCTACAATACTGTAGAATACTTTATTTTCGCTATTTTCGCTGAAGGGATTATTCTGTGAAAATAAAACCCAGCGAATATACTTTTTTTCGTATATTTCACATTAAGCTTGTCACAAATCAGTGAAAATAAATTTCAAGCAAAACGCCCAAAAAGCCTTTTTAGCGAAAATTAATTCCAGCGAAAATAAAGTATTCCACAGTAATAAATCTAGCTGCAAGCAGCAGAGTGGGTTCAAAATACGATAATTCAGTTGTCTTAGATTGGAGCCAAAAAGTTGATGATAATGAGTATAGTCAACTGACACATTACACTATGAAATCAATCTTTCCCAATTTTTGTTTGTATATATTGGATATATTTGACATTGGAGCTTATGAAAATTCATGAAATGCATTACCATGACAATAACATTTACATCCTGACAAGAAAATATTTTATACTAAAACTATTGAATATTCATGTGACACATTACCATGAAATTATTATTCATTTCACTTGCATTATTGTTTCTGTAAGTTCTAAAGTATAAGAAATATATAAAGTTTGAACATGACCAGTCAGAGAATGCCAGAGATAATAGCTCAGAACTGCATTCACTAATTTATAAAAACAAAATGGCCACCAGTCAGCCATTTCAAGTCTGATCTGACAAATAAAATGCACTAAGGTCTCATAAAGTTAAAAACTTTGTCTGAACAGTTTGATATTTTCACAAGAATACTGGAAAGCATGTACTCAGACATCACAGAATCACATCGACTATGCTATGCATAACATAGGTATATTACCCAAGGTAATAAATAATGCATGTCACGCATAACCACAAAATAACTCATATTCTTGATTTGGTTACATTGCTCACAAGTTGCAGTCTCAGTGAATAATTGCATGTGAATAGCTAGACAGAGAAAATGTTATATTTTCATACCTATTTCGTGTAATATTGGCAATGTACTCAGTCTGTAACTTTCGATCCAAGGAATCTCTGTGTATACACAAAAATCAGATCTATTCATTATACAGTCGGATATGAAGTCAACTATCTGTCAAACCTGTCTCAGATGAACTTAATATAAGTAGTGAGGATGCCTGGCTGTTTTATTTTAAATACAGTAACCTTCAGAAATGCAATTGTGTGAAGTGTAAAATGGCTTTTTGGCATAATGTGAACCACTTTTAATTTTGCGAAAAACAAATTTACAAGATTTTTTGCAAATATGAGAAAATTGTAAACTTTCATCATGATCAATTGTTTTTGATTATTAAATCTTGAAAATCTATAGCGATAAAAATTAACAATTTAAAGTACACTTACTCATAATTGCCATTATGTGCTGTGAGCAAATCTACCAAAGTTCCTGATATGTTGACAGTTGCAAAGATTGCTGGTCCTAATTCACCATGTGGAGAAGGTAATATATGGTGACTTGATCTCACAATTTGGTACTTTGAAAACAAATTGCTTCTGTGAGGAAAATAAAATACTGTGAAATACTTTATTTTAGCTGGAATTAATTTTCGCTGAAAAGACTATTTGAGTGTTTTGTATGGAATTTATTTTCACTGATTTTTGGCAAGTTGAATGTAAATTATAGGTTAAGGATACATGTATATCACTGAAATATTACTTCAGCAAAAATTTATTCCAAGCGAAAATAAAGTATTTTACAGTCAATAATAAAAGTAAATTGCCTTTACAATTATACTGTCGCTGAACAGTTTTGAGCAAAAAATATAAACCAATTTTAAAATATAATTTACTGTTAAAATTAACCTATGTTTACTACAAATAGAAAAACTTGATAAGGATTGTACAAAGTTGAAAAAATTGAGAAAAACACAGAACCAGATATATTTACATGGTAAGCATGAGAGAAATCTATCAGTGCATTATCAAAATCAATGAAAGCTTAGAAAGAACACCTGTGTGCTGTTAGACTTGGAGGAATGAGGTAAAAATAGGACATATTAAAAATAATTCAAAATTTGAAAAGATCAAAGACGAATATAAGTCTGCTATTTGAGATGCAACAATATGATTCAATACAGTATTGAATTTTATAATAGAAACATAAAATTCGTACTTAAAACTAATCAGATCTTTTGCATTGTCCACAGGCACCTATATGCACCAAGTTTTATTGAATTGTGATGATTGCTACTTGAGATATCGGTGGAAAAGCTGAAACATTAATTGTAATAAAATTTAGATGATTAATATACACAGATTTCAATCTTAAACTAATCAGGATTTCACAGTCCAAATGCATCTATGTACCAAGTTTAATTGAAATGTGATAACAGGTTCTTGATATATCAATTGCAATTTATGCAGCCACCTAAGTGTTAGTTGGTTCTAGAGTTATTGGTGAAAAACCTAATAACACATTATTAGATCATTAATATGCACAGATTTTAACTCCACACTAAACAGGTCTGTACATTGTCTCAGAGCATCTATGTACCATCAAGTTTAATTGAAATGTGATAACTGGTTTTTGATATAACAATTACAATTTATGCAGCCACCTAAGTTTTAGTTGGTTCTAGAGATATTGGTGAAAAACCTAATAACACATTATTATGAAAATTAGATCATTAATATGCACAGATTTTAACTCCACACTAAACACTCTGTGCATTGTCTCAGAGCATCTATATTTCATTGGAGTGCAACGATTGGTTCTTGAGATAATGATGGAACAGGGATACATATATACACACACAGACAGGGTAACCGTAAAGTCAGAAACTAGACCTGACAAAGCTAAAAATCACTGTACATACCCCCATGTGTGTGAAGCTGTGGATGGTCCAAAATCACTGTACATTCCAAGTTTTTCAGACATCCACATTGTGATGTCATTGTTTCCCAAGAACGGTTTTGACGCATCACTCTCAAGAAATGAAATGAAATCCGCCTCTGCAAAAAAAAAAAATGTAAAACTAATTAAAACTTTTATGGCATTCTCAAACTAGTGTTCTATTAGAACTGACCTTATTATAATACATACATCGCAATATGCATTTCAAACTAATTCTTTCCCAGACACTTCTTAGCACTGTATCGAATCCCTCCTTTATAAATGCATGCACACCTCCCAGTAAAACATAATGGTATTTTCCTTACCTGTATTATTAAGTACTGTAGCAGCTCTATCAAAGCTAGGCCAACCATTATTATCATACATAAATCTTACAGACCACATCATTGTACTAAATGTCTTGGGGTCTGATTTCTGTGGTTCTGCTATAAATTGTTCTGACATAAAACGTGGTACAAAGCCTCCAATTCCTATGAGAGTCACCAATGCTAATACTGAAAAAGAGTAACAACCAAATACGTTAATTATTCCGCCAAGTATACGTAATGTACCATATATTATGTGTACACCGTTCTTCACACAATTCCTGTAATATTGATATTGTACGTGTGATATATACATGTAACATGCTTTCAATATTACACACACTGTGTACATTGTATTACATGTAACATGCCTTCAATATTACACATACTGTATATTTTATTACACGTAACATGCCTTT